TGTGTGTGTGTGTGTGTGTGTGTGTGTGTGTGTGTGTGTGTGTGTGTGCCTCTTGTGTCTATGTAATGCGATGATTTAGGGCTCAGAGCTCAGGTTTAAAGTACAATAAATGCTGAATATGGAATTATTTCAATCATTTTCTAGGTGAGGGCCTGATGGGATCAAACACAGACACACACACACACACACACAAATACAAGGAAACAGACAGGAGAGATTATTACCGCGCTGGTGTCTAAGCAGGAGTCAGCAGAAAATGACACAGCATTTTTCAACATAATTGTTAAAACGGAGCAAATAGTTTCAGAGGAAACAGAGGAATTCCTGTGAAACGACTAACTTTACTCGTATCCTTCGTCCATCCGTCATCCACTCTGTCCTTCTGGGTTCATTTCATAAAGAAACATTCTGATACACCAAAGTGAGGCACCTTCATTTGTGCTTACAACTGTTGTTTACTGATTCAGCTGCTGATGAAACATCCGGATACTTCAGTGCATAATAATTCCTCTCCAGTTCGCTCCATCTGGAACACGAGAGAATAACATTTGATCTTTGAACACGGGATGATGGGGACATACACATCTTTATTATTATCTGCAGATCTTTGTTTTTTACCTCAGAGGACAATAACATGTTTTGATAGATAATTATTTTGACATGTCATGGATCTTGGTTGACTGTGTTCATATTACTTCGAGCGGAGCTGTATTGGTTTCTAAGTGGTATATTGGATTTCTAAGGCCCTGTCCTGTAAACGTTAAACAGCGCGGTGGCGTAGCGGTCAGACAGGACGCCCTGTCAGTGTCCGATGACCTTAAGCGTCCTGTCTGCAGACATGATGCTGAACCCCTGCAGCTCCGGCTGATGCTGGTGTTTATGTGGAGGTTTATTCCTCTGGAGATAAACAAATTAATACAAGTATGGAGTCTTCTCACTGCCCTTTATAGTGAGGACTTGTTCAGTTGCATCACATCTTTTTCACCAGATGTTTACCGCTGCAGACAGAGTGAGACAGAGTGACGCCTGTGTCTCTTATATGTACCAGAAACGCTCGAGCTAAAAGGCGTCTTGTTGTCTTCTGCTGTGCTTAGTTAAAAGTGTTACACTCTTTATTTGTGAGTGCTGAAGACTTCATCAGCCAATGTTGTGATTTTCAGCTCGGCACCCACCGTAATCTAAATTGAGGTGAGCCGGGCATTTTGTTTCTGAGTTTTCTGTAGACAGTGTTTGTGGGTGATGAGCCTTTGGGCTTACTTCAGGCACACTCACACCGAGCCGAGGATGTAGTTAAAATGTATTAGTTCATGGCATATAAAAGTTAAACAGTTAAAAACACTTCATTCTCTGCTCAGACTGACATTATTCCAATAATTGTTCGCTGCTCTATTAATGCTCTGAATCCCGTATGTTGCTCCCTGAGATGGTTACTTAGTGTCACTTTTAATAACTAATGTATAAATGAATGTATAAGTACTGTATATTAGTATTCAACATACAAAGTAACCGTGTGCTTTTCCCAAACGGATGAGAGCGATTCATGAAAATGCGTCGTCCCTTTTTAAGACGTGAGGCCGAAGGATTCCCCCCCTCCCCCCCTTTTTAGCACAGCACACGAGGCGGATCAATAGCACTTCAATGGAGAGCAATCCAATGGCTGCAGTGCAGAAATAGATAAGGGGATCACATTGCTTTGGGTTGGCGGAAAAACTTCCATTGTGGGGAAAAATGGCAGCAACAGTCGTCCCTCTCCACTGAGCTGAGAAGCTGATCGGTCCACTGATACAAGCTGGGAGAATAGAGTGAAAAGAGAGTATCGATTATGCTCTACTTTCTCCACCAGCTGAGGTGCCCTCGGTGACCAATTTAAGTTTTAGTGCTGGAATAATGCTGTGCTCCTGTTGATGGAAATAACAGATACTTGTATGCTCAGCAAACCTTTTTATGAATGACTGAACGTCCTCAGTACTGTGGGAACTACGGCAAAAGTAAAGTTACGGCTGTAAGTCCGTGAAGCTCAATTTGAGACGTCAAATGTTTAATTTACCTTTCGAAAGAACATTCAAGTGTTCATTTTCAAAATGGATCCACTTTGGAGGAGAAAATCACCATTTACTTTCAGAAGAATCTCAATAATAGAGACGTTTAGTCTGTTCTCGGTTGTCATTTTTCATTCCAACCGTGGACAGTTTTTCTTTCAGTTGAAACACTCAATATCCTGCTTTGTTGGAGTTCTCCTTTTGCATCAGAACTCTACAATGTTGGACCAGTATGAAGAGGCATTTATCTGATAACTCCTCAGCTTGTCCTTGATTTCTCTCGATGCACAAAACTACTTTCCTCTCATGAATGCACCCTCTTCTTCAAGGTGTTGCTTAATTGAAGTCCAGGGCTGGCGGCCATCAAAGCCAACACAGGAACAGTGTTGGCTTTCATCTTGAATAAATTATAATTCTGCCGGATGAGAAAGTCGTCTGACTTGGACAAAGCTTGTTGTATCTGGTTTTGCAGTCTCCCCGCGGTCATGCTACCTTTCTCCACTTGTAAACCAACAACAGCAACGTAATCTCAGCTTGTCAGGGTGTCATCAAAATAGTCCGAACAAAAACATTTCTCAGCGTCATTATCAGTCAAAATGACACAACGATCTGTTCAACCCGAGCTAGAATAGTTTAATTATATCTTCAGATTACACAGAACACTGGTTTTTAATCATTATGTCCAGGGCCCTCTGGACTTAGAAGAATATGAAATATATTTCCTTCTCACATTGTTGCACAAGTTCACATCACGACAGTATTAATACACTAAAAGTCCTCGATTACTGCTGGATCCAGAACACTACCATTGTTCGTCCACAGCTTTCACTCTGCTCTGTTTTTATCTCTCCTTGTACATCATTTTAAACGACCTACAGTAGTGTTTGTATTTCTGAATGAGACTTCTGATTTCATAGCATCTATTTTACTTTAACACTAACTAGCTGACTATTCTTTGTAATCTTTACATTTGTTTAAATGTAGATTTGAATCCAGATGACAATATTGAGCCTGAAAATAAATAAAAAACAAAAACAGTCTTTTATAACATATTTTATAACAGATCTAAGATCTAAAATTCTCCTTCAGAGTCTCCATGCTGATCATTTTATATCTAATGGGAACATTTAGCGGCAGAGTGATGATGCTGCGGTTCAATACAGTCACCCTTTTTACCTTGTTAAAACGCTGATCAAGAGCAAAACAGTGAGTCAGTATGAGACTGGATATTTGATGATATGAGTGTTTATTTAAAGAATAAATACTTAATGAATAATACGCTTCAAGCCGCTAACTGAAGGTTCGTCTCCTAAAGCTGTGAAATGAAAATATGAGTAGTTTTCTTGTTTCTGCCTCCTTTGGATTTAATCCAACTATAAAAAGTCCACCGTCCACACAGCCCTCTGTTAGTGCCACAGCAAATATAAAGATGGGTAACGTAAACTACAGGCCGACACCACACTGAAGATCATAAGACAGCAGAGTTATTTTGACTCTCTGAGTTTCAGTAGTCTGGATGAGTTGTGCGTATTCTTACCCAGTTGGCTCTTTTTCTTTACTCTTAATTTAGATTGTTTAGGACTCAGCAGTGGAGGTGAAATGCTGCCATCTATTTGTTTGGAGCAGGTGGACATATCTGTGATAACCATCACGTTCAGTACACGCTGTATCAATAGCTACAGGGAAGTTTCACTTCACCTTTACACAAACGTCCCTCCATAGCAAATATTACCCAGCGGCCCTCGGTGCAATGCAGTGATGACTATTTTTGGGACGGGGACCGTCTCACTCGCAAAGAAACAATCATACGAGCAGACAAACCTAACGACACTTAAGAGCCCGTGACCAGCCAGCCAACTTGTATACAAATGCAAGCCCACACACCCACACACACACACACCCACCCACCCAAACACACACACACGCACAGGCTGCCTACACAAAAACTGAGGACCGGGGGAGACAGGCCATGCTATTAGTGTCAGCGATTTAATCCGATTAACCCTCCCACAGTAAACTCACGAAGGTGTGTGTGTGTGTGTGTGTGTGTCTATTTGACTGGAAACCTGCCTGTGTGCTTGCTGTGTTTTGTGGAGTTTGTATATCGGCTGATTTCTGAGTATTTGAGCTCTCACTTGGTTCCTCTAAGTCTTTGGTTTTTACACAATGGTTGACAGACATTACCAGGAACTCCACAGGGCTTC